CCCCAAAACCCCAAAACCCCAAAACCCCAAAACCCCAGTTTTATTTATATTATATAATATGGAAGAACAGATCTCTTCACGGAGGATAAGTACGGTAGCTAAGCGAGGCAGTAGTGGAGCCAGTTGACGACTTTATCAGATTTTGAAATTCCGAATTTTTAAAGGAAATTTAGGGAAATAGCTACTTTTCAAAGGCCCTTGAGCTGAAAGTGGAATACTGCGAAATTTGAGTATTCGCTTTTAGGATTGCAAAATCTAGAATTTATAGTTTTTTTGTACATTCTTCTCAATATGTTTAAAAGATTCTACTTAAAATTGCTTAAAAGTCTCTGCTGATAATTGTCGCTCTCTATATTTCATAATACCATAGCCTGTAGCTATCAGCATTGGACCTCTCATGTGCTTGATTATAGGTAAAATTCGGCCGATCCAAGAGACGAAGGCAAGGATAGTCCAGAAGCTAAACTGCAGGAACAAGATCACTGACTACAAATTATTATGTGACTGCTATACTTCCTTAATAAGGTTCCATAAGGAGCGATGGGATATAGTCATTAAGCAACTAAAAATGTAAGTTTTCTTAGGAACCATTCTGCTCATTGGAATTTTCAAGGAGGCATTTTCGATCATTAAGCTGGGAATGGATAAAACTTTGATATTATAAAGCATCACCCATAGTTTTGAGCTTGGATAATTTATAATCTTTGCCTAAATTACAGTCCTTGTAATCGCTTTTAAATATTGCCTAAAATTACATTGAAATCTTCGAAAATTTTCTTCAATCTCGAATCTCCTAAATCTCTATTTTCTTCATCTCAGACTCACTTGGCATCTCTTTATTGTCTTCAGGAACCTATCCAGAAGCCAACAGTCACTCAAAAATGTTGTTTTAATTAAATCTGCTTCTTTGTCTTATAAACAATTTTGACTTATAAATTTCCAAAAACCCAAAATTCTTCATAAACTGGTTCACGAAAGCAGCTAAAAAGCTTTGGATTTTGACTCTAACTTCTCTTCAGGATGGAAGACAAGAGCAATAAAGGATTTGAAACCCATAAAGAAGAACTTCAGGTAAAGCATCGGCTGGTTTAGCATCTAGAGCGAACTGCTAGAGACTCATAAATAAGTTACAAGCTATTACAGAGGTGCTGAGTAAGAAGTAAGAGGCCAAGGTCGAGAAATTTAGGACACAGATGTGGAAGCAGATGGAGATTGATAATCAATTATATAAAGAAGACCTAGCTGTAAAAGAAAAGAGGTAAGTTTCTCCGTTGTATTGATAAAAATTTAATTATTTTAACTCCTTTCCTTGCCTCTTTTGAACACCACCTTTCATGCTCTACAGCATCAACGCATACATGGAACTTATTAACCAAAAATAACGAGGAAATCCAGGACCTCAAAGAACAACTGTCTCTTAAAAATAGCCAAATAGGCACCTTAAAATCCGACTACCAAGAGCTTGATCAGAAGTACAAGACCAAATTGTTTGAAATTGCTAAAAGTACTTCTGTTCTGACTCCTTTAGAGAAGAAGCGAGCTAGGACCACTACTAATATTCCTAGGCCAGAGTCTCCCCCGAGGGGGGAGACTCCTAGGGCTATTACTAAGGTGTGGACTCAGACTCAGGACTTGCAAAAGGAGAACAATAAGAATGAAGAGAATTTAGATTTGAGTGATGATAGTAGGAGAATTTGGATAATGGTTTAGTAGAGGGCGCCCCTGTCAACCGAGTCAGACCTTCACTGTAAGTAGCAAGAGGTTTAGGTATAGGACTAAGGAGAATATGGGGGAGCAGGGATTTGAGGAGTCTGAGAGCGGGAGTTCTGAAGAAATTGATGATTATATGGAGATTAATTTTGATATCCAGCAGGAACAGGATAGGTCAATGACCCTTTCACAGAAGGATATACAGTTTAGAAAACATACGTTTGATTTTGTGACTTCTAACCCAGAAGTTGGAAAGAAGAGTCAGAGGTTTGATAAGTTATTGTCTTCAGGTGTACTTACAGGAGGTCTATATCGAGAAATCCCTAATGCCCATTATTGTGAAATCACAACTATAGCTATTAGTAATGACGGTGCTCTATTGGCAACAGGAGGTGAAGATGGTATAGTCAAGGTCTGGGATACCAAAAGTTTCTTTGAAATTCCCCTATTCAAGAAAGTTTCTGACTCTCCTTCCCAGAAGAAGGTTAAAAAGTATGGAATTTATACTATGATTTTATAGGAACTGACTGGCTCAGGATAAATTTGAGTATGAAAAATCTCCCCAACCAATCTCATGATTATGTTTCAGCTATTGCTCCACCTATCTCGGAGTTGCCAGTAATGATATCAAGATTTGGAAGATAAGCAGGACAACCATTGAGCTGAAAAGAACAATTACAGGGATTAAATCGGGTATCAATGTGATCAAATTCATGATAGGAGATTCCTTTCTTGAGCCATGTCTCATATCAGGATCATCAGACCGAACTATAAGAATTTGGGATAAAGATAAATAACCATGTTATAAATTGAGTTTCCACCTGTCTTTGTCTTGATACTATAATGACTGATAAATTTATTGCTTCTGGGCATATTGATGGGAGTATCCGATTATGGTCGGGAAAACAAAGGTCACTAATTTATCGATTTGCAAAGCTTCATGATGACGCAGTCACATCGCTATGTATCAATGCGCTTACATCGACGATCACTTCGGTAGGCAAGGATCATTCTGTGAGGCTAATAGATTACCGAGACTTTTCAATATTGGATGAGGTCTGGCCAGACGAGTACATCAACATAAAGCATTCGTCAGAGTCAATCTCATGTGGCTCTTACTCTCAGCATATTGTCATCGCCAGTGCTGATGAAAACCTGCTGATTTATAATCTAGAGAAGGAGAGTAGAGAGAAAGGACCGAAGAGACTTGCAGTAGGTCGGTCTCAATCTATGTTTCAGAAGGATAACTTTCAGTTCTTTAATAGCGCCCCTCTTAAGCTGAAGCTAGCCAAGGTCATTGATTCCGGAGAGAAAAGGTAGGATTTTAGAATAATTTGTAGAGGATTTGATAAGAAGGTAGAAAGTCTTTTGTCTAGTATGAAAAAGTCAAACCATAGGAGTAAGACACGGATTGTATGATTTATAGCCAGAAGTATTAACTGCATTGCCTGACACCCTCAAGAAGATACCTTTATCACCGCTGATAACGAGGGAAGAATCATGTTGTGGGATTAATTTTTATTCATCCCAAATTTCTATAAGAGGAAATAAAAGGGGTTTTGGGGTTTTGGGGTTTTGGGGTTTTGGGG